AAATGGGTGCAGCACGTGGTGATGCCAGCACTCGTGTGCTGGACAAATCATCCAGCTCTCCTAGTTTTTCTGGATATGCAGCTTGGCCAAAAATAGGAAGAGAAAGGAAAAGGATGAGGAGAAGGAGGAGAGAAGAACCTGACGAACCTGCAAAGAACCTGATTGCTGTTGGTGGCTGGAGCCAACAGCAGGACTCCCCTGGATGCTGTGGTGTCCTCACACAGGCTCTGGTTCAAGGGGGTGCACTGGGCAGTTTTCTTGCATGCCACAGCTCCACGTCTCCTTACAAATGTCCCAGCACAGGCTGGAGTTCACAGTCCTCACACTCCAGAGCCAGGAAAGCTCTGAGGAAATCTCTCCAGCCTGAGGTGGGTCACCCAATCCTGTTCCTGCCTCCTCAAGGCATCCTGCTGGGGACGAGCAGAGGCTCTGAGAGATTGGGAACCTCCCCACCTGCCTGGGCAGGATGTGCTGGGTTATTTGGGAAAGCCCTGTTGTTGCTGTTGCAATGTGTTTGCCAGGGTTAGGCCGTAGTGTGCAGCCTGCTTCTAAGTTTGTTATCAAAGCCTGAATAATTCTACAAAGCTACTGAAACATAAATTGTGCTAAATTAAGAAAGAAGAGGCTGAGAAACCAAAGACCAAGACCACAAGAACTAGATAACAGCAGGCTGTAAAACCCCTAGACTGTAACCAATCACATACTCTGAGAAATGCAGGCAGAAAATGAGTGAACAAGACAAAGACACCAATCAAGAAATGTGTATTTAGTAGTTTGTAGGATCTATAAATATGTGTGTAAGATAAACAATAAACAGCTTCTGCTTAATCATATTGGCTAGTTGTCCAAGAGTCCTGACTCTCCCATGTCACCCTCATATTTTCTGGAAAAATCTCTTCGCTGGGATTTCTTCTCCTAGGAAGCTGAGAAGCTTCAGAGAAAAATTAAAACAATAATTATCTGATTCGCTTCTTCTGTGTTTTGCTGCTTTAGAATGTGGTTTAGAGATTGTTTATCCAACATGTGAATTGTTTTAACTTAATGACCAATCATGGTCAGGCTGTGTTGAGACTCTGGAAGAGGTCATGAGTTTTTCATTAGTAGCTTGTTAAGCCTTCTGTAAGGATCCTTTCTCTATTCTTTAGTATAGTTTTAGTATAGCATAATATAATATAACATAATATAATATAATATAATATAATATAATAGCCTTCTAAGAACATGGAGTCAGATTCATAATTTCCTTTCTGCCATGGGAGACCCCAAAAATACTGCACTCCTGGATGTTTCCTCCTTTGGAAGTGTACAGAGCACCAACCCCACATGGCAAAGTTCTTCCTTGCCCTAGAACACCCTCCCTAGGTGTGGATCTGGATACAAAGAGAAAAGGTTGAAGGTGCTGCAAGCCACCCCCAAATGTGCCTTTTCCCAGTCCCACCCCTGCTTTGTGACGCTGGCAGAGCAGGGGACTCACCTTTGGCCACGGGAGCACCTGGCACTGCCCACTGCTGGGAGAGCACAGCCCCAGCTGAGCCTTATCTGGGCACCCCAGAGTGCAAACAGCAGAGCCATGAGGCTGCTGCGAGCCCTGCCAGGGCAGCACACGGCCGGGAGGCAGCGCAGCTCCTCGGGCTCCCCAGTGCCTCTGGATCCCTCCCAGCGCGGCTCCCCAGCACCCTGCACGCCTCACCTGCTCCTGGCAGCCCTCAGGTGAGTTTGGCTCTGTCCCTGAACCTGTAGAATGGGGAGGCAGGTGTGGCACAGGGCAGGGAGAAGCCCCTTCCTTTGCTCAGATCAGACGCATTAATTAATCTGCCGTGAACCCCATACATTCCTTGCACGGGTTTTCCATCAGGAAGCGCTTTCCTGGTGTTAAATGTGACAAAGCTGGAGTTGGCCTGTGTGCATGTGCTTTGGTTTGATTGCAGCTGTAATTTCCTCAGAGATTCAAAATTCAACAGTGTGTGTTTAGCAGACTCTGTGTGGAAATCAGGGACTGGCCTGGGGTTATTCCCAGAATTGGGGTGGGTGCATCCCAAAGGCAAATCCCACTGGCTCTCAGGGGAAAGCTACAGAGAGGGGAGAGGTTTCTGCTTTGAATCCCAAGGGATTCCAGGAGCTGAGGGGATGCGGATTCAGTGGCACTGGGGTTTGCCAGGGGACTGCGAGATGTGCACTGTTTGCTCGTGGTGCTCGAACTGCAGTTTGTGATGCAGCTCTCGCTTTGGACAGCCTAAAACTGAAATGAGAAAACTGAAATGGGCTCAAGGGCTGGGCAAACTGCGAGCTGCAGATGCTGGGATTATTTATTTATTTATTTATTTATTTAATATCCTTTTTAGCATTTGAGGAGTTTTAGCCCTTGTTCAAGCTGAGCCCGAGTCCCTGCAGGGCTGGTGGTGCCCCGTGGGCTCTCCTGGGCTCATCCCTCTGCACACCACAGGGACTCCAGGGGTGTGATGTGCAGGGGGTGTAGGGCCAGGACCCAGCAGCATCACTGCCCCTCTTCGGTGGCAAAATCCCACTGTATTCCCAGAGCCCATGTTCCACAGGCCACCTTGGGTGGTTATCACAGGCATCTGTAGTAATCTCCCTTGTAGTCTCCCAGCCTGTCCTCATGCTGCACTTGCAACACGGAAATTGCCCCAAGAAAAGAAATGTCTTTACAAGATGGGCCATCAAGGCAGCAGCCAGCCCCGAATCATCCCACTCAGCAGGGTAATCTATTCAATGGCCGGGATTTATTTTTAACATTCTGCTCCGCAGTCCTTTTAACTCGAGCAGGGAAGGGAACATTTTGATAACAGCAGCCTCCAGGTCAAATGTGATGAGAATTCATAACTCGCCACACAGGGGTTTTGGAAAACCAGCCAAGCAAAACAATTTCCCGGAATGAGCCGATGAAGATGCGTGTTTCTCTTCACAATGTCATGCACAGAGCACGGAGGTGTTGGAGTGGCTCCTCATTCTCTGCCCACAATTTGCAAATAAAATGCCTCCCGGGCTGTTTTAAATCTGAAGAACGATTGCAAACACGGCTTTGCTGGGCTGCTCATAAAGACCTGAGACATCGGATCTGGCGGCCATCAAAGGAGAAATATGAATCCAGTAATGGGAATGTCCTCGTGGTCCCAACTCTAATCAAAGCAAAGCCAGGGGTTTCTGCTTCAGGAGAGTGGCATCAAGATTTAAAAAGGAACAGAGGGCCTCCAGTCCCTGGTCAGCACTGGAGGAGCAGCAGGGATGATTTACAGGGGCATGGAGTGGCAGGACAGGAGGAATGGCTTTAACTGATAGAGGTTAGATGGGATATTGGGAAGGAATTCCTTCCTGTGAGGATGATGAGGCCCTGGCACTGCCCAGAGAAGCTGTGTCTGCCCCTGGATCCCTGGAAGTGTCCAAGGCCAGGCTGGATGGGGCTTGGAGCACCCTGGGGTAGTGGGAGGTGTCCCTGTCTGAAGGGTACAGGAGCACCACTGAGTGTCCCCCAGGACTGGGATGACCCAGGTTAGATTGGAAGGATCCCCCTGAGCTTTCCTGGCCCTGGAGTCCAAGGGGTCTGAACTCCAGTGGCAGGGGGTTGCAACAAAATGAGCTCTAAGGTCCCTTCCAACCCAAACCACTCTGGGCTAGGAAAAAGACCAACAACCAGAATCCTGAAAATCTTTGGGCTGGGAAAAAACCAACAACCAGAAGCCTAAAAATCTCTCCAAGCCAAGATTGTGACAGAGCTTCCAGAGAGCAACTTTTTCTTTCTGTTTTCTTTGCAGAGTAAATTGACTGCACCTGTCTGAGGACGAGGCACAGGTGGGAAAGGCAGGAGGAAATGTGGAGATTGAGCACTGTAGTTTATTTTAATGTCTGTGTTGGTGTCTCCTGAGCCCTGTGGAGCTGGGCTGGGCTGGGCTGGACATGTGTGTTCCACCTGAGCTCCACGGGGCTGCCTTATCTACAGGCTCGGGAACGTGGCCCTTCCAAACCGCGGATATTTGCTCTCCATTCCCTTCTTCCGCTCAAATTCCATATCTGCAGGGAGGCCCCAGGGGCTGCCACTCACAGCAGAGCGCAGGGACAACGAGAGAAACTGGGAATGAGATTGGAAAAATTAACATTGAATACGGAATCCCAGAAAGGTTTGGGTTGGAGTGGAACTTAAAGCCCATCCAGCGCCACCATTGCCATGTACAGGGACACCTTCCACTAACCCAGATTGTTCCAACCTGGCCTTGAGCACTCCCAGGGATCCAGGGGCAGCCACAGCTTCCCTGGGCAACCTGTGCCAGGGCGTCTCCACCCTCACACCCAAGAATTTCTTCCCAAACTCCTGTGCTGTCCTGGGAACCCAGGATGTGATGAGAAACCCTGTGCAGCTGGAATGGAAAACAACAAAATCTGTTATTCAGCATGGGAAGCAGCACTCATGGGAACAGTCACTGCTTTAATATTTAATTTGATGAGATCCAGCTCTGAGAAATGGATCAGGAGCTGCCACAGCTCCAAGCACAAGTTCAGCACTGGCAGGGAATTTCCATGGGGTTTGCTTCTCTCCAGACTTATCTGTATTCTGGAAGGGTGACATGGAATGAGGCTCATTAATTATCCCAGCACACAGAGCTGTGTTTCCTGCCATTCCCTTCAATCAATCAAGCTCTGGGCACTTTCAGGGCTTCTTGGACATCAGGTTGTCATTCTAGGTAAGTCCCCTCAGCTGGACCCTGGCTCCTGGTCCCTGCAGGGCCACTCAGGTGCAGCCAGGTGTCATTTCAGGAGGGAATTTCCTTGTGCCACCAGACAGTGCAGGGCAGATCCCATTCCATCCTGCCTCTTACCAGCAGGAACTCCCCATGGCTGTATGGCCTCGTGTGCTGCTGGGACGGGAAGGGGGAGCTGTGCCAGGCACAAGGTGGGTCTCACCAAACATGGCCCTTCTTTGTCCTTTTGGGTCTCACCAAACGTGGCCCTTCTTTGTCCTTCTAGGTGGATCCCACACCTTTGCTGGGACTGAGGCTGAGCCAGCAGCAGAGCTGGGTTTCCCCTGTGCAGCATCCTGGTACCTCCAGAAATCCCTTTGCATGCTCCAGAAGGTTTGGGTGTCCTCACCAGGGAGCTGGGCTTTGCAGGAGTCCAACAGTCACCGCCAGGGCAAGAAAAGGTGGTGGAAATGTAGATTTGTCAGGACTATAATCCAGGTAGGTCATAATTCCTTCCTTGTATGAAACCATCCATTTCCTATCCTCATCTGCTCCTCCTGGTCCATCACAAGACTCCATCACTGCAGGACACAAATCCCTCACATCCCTCACAGTTGAAGTGTTAGCAGAAGGAATGGATTGGGGAAAAGCCTTTGGCATGCTGATATTTTACCTTTGGGTGACAGACCCCAAACTGAAATCACAGCCTTCGCCCTGTGACACTCACGGCCTCCTGGGGCACCTAATTCCATGGGCACATTTGGCTCCACAGATTCCCTGAGACAAGCACGTGTTGGAATGGCACTGCAGTGTTTGGGAGCAGTTTCCCACACCAGTCTGCCCCAGGGATGCTCTTGGGGCTCCTTGCTTTGCTGTGGTGACCCTTCCCACCCTCTCTGCCTGGGTCCTTCCCTTGCTGCCAAGCCCATGCCTGCACCATGGGACACAGCTGCCCATCCCTTCTCCAAGACCTCTCCTGGTTCCCCCTGCCTGGCTGTGGCCAAGGAGGTGGGACCCCAGATCTTCATCCTGGGGGGAAGAGCCCTCTGTACCCATAGAGGGATTGTCACCAGGCCTGTCACCAAGCTGCCTTCACCTTTCACTGTCCAAAGCCTCATCCCTCCATTTCCCAGTCCTGCTGAGCAACAACAACTGGCTCCTCCTTTTGCTGTTCCTTGTCTCTCCTTAGCACCCATGTCGGAGGCACGCCCCCAAACGCTCCAGGAAAGAAAGAATGTTGAGGAAAATCCAGATATGCCTCTGTTTCTGCTTTGTCTCGGGCATTTTGTACGAGATCTCCCTCTTGTCCAGCTGTGTCTTCTCCTACTTGCCCATGGCCCAGCAGTACCTGACGCCTGAGCAGGTGCTGAACCTTGGCAAAAGCATCATTTTCCTGGAGACCACGGAGCGCCTGGAGCCGCCGCCGCTGGTGTCGTGCTCCGTGGAATCCGCCGCCCGCATCTACCAGGACAGGCCCATCATCCTCTTCATGAGGGGGCTCACCAACGAGACAGCCCTGGACATGAACACCAGCTACGCAGCCTTCTCCCTCTTGTCTTCCATGAAGAATGTCTTCCTTTTCCCTCTCCAGATGGAAACCGTCTTCCAGGAGACGCCCCTGCTCCAGTGGTACAACCAGGTGAGTGTTTAAAAAAGTGGAAAACTCTTTAGTTATAACCAGGGGTGGGGAAAGGCTTTAAAAGGAATGAGGAATCCAGGACTGTGTGAAATTAGTGACTTTCATTGTTTTGGTTGGGAACAGATTCATTTTGGCCGCGTTCTGCTGTGTATTCATCTCTCTGTTTATGGCATACGTGATCGGCCTTATCTGGAGAATCGGATTTTTTGGCAAAGGAAATATCGGTAAAAATAGATTGCAGACGTGTTTTGAGAAAACAGCCTTAATAATCTTCCCCAACAGAAGCTGGTTGAACAAAATGTGCTGCCTGAGCACTTGATAGAGCTGCCTCACTCTGACAAAGCGCGCAGGAGATAAGAGATAGGGGAGAGATTTCAGGTTCTATAGCAGCAACATGCAAAGCCAAGGTGGGATCTGGTGAGCCCCACCCTAGAAAAAGTTCCTCGGGCAAACTTCCCACAAGCAGCTTTAGTCAAACTGCTTGGGCAGGGCAGGCAGATTTCTTCCAAAGTCTTTCTTATCCTGAGAAAAAATTACTCCAAATGCCAACAAACACCGATGAAAAGCCTCCAGCCTGGTTCAAAGAGCTGGGAGGGATCTGGGAGTGTGTTAAGTGGGTTGTGTCCCTCTGAAATAGAAGGGAATGACTCATGGTGGCATTGAGTTAACACTGTAGGTGCCATCAAACCACCTGGGAAATGTTCCTGCATTGCTAATGCCAACAAAGCACTGCTCTGCTGTCACAGACATCTTTTATGGAAAATCCTTTCCTTAGGATTTTTCCTCCCAAGAAGCTGAGAGGCCTCATGAAAAAAATGTAAACAATGGTTATCTGCTCCTGTGGAATGCAATAGGTGGATCTGTGATTGGTCTCATGTGGTTGTTTCTAATTAATGGCCAATCACAAGTGAGCGGGCTCAGACAGAGAGTCTGAGCCACAAGCCTTTGTTATCATTCTTTGTTGTTCTATTCTTAGCTGGCCTTCTGATGAAATCCTTTCTTCTATTCTTTTAGTATAGTTTTAATGTAATATATATCATAAAATAATAAATCAAGCCTTCTGAAACATGGAGTCAGATCCTCATCTCTTCCCTCATCCTAAGACCCCTGTGAACATGGGCACACTCTGCTCCTTATCTTATCACAGTAAATCCAATGGCTGGAGGCAGCCAGAGCTGTCAGTGCCATTTGCAGCCATGAGGGTTTGCAGTGAGGATTTATGGTGCCATTTTCAGCTCTGTGGATGGACTGGATCTGTTCCCCGCCTGCGGCATCACGTCTCATTTTTCCCGTTCTGCAGGTGGTCCCGGAGCAGGAGAAGAACTGGGTGCACGTCAGCTCTGACGCCAGCAGACTGGCACTCATCTGGAAGTACGGGGGCATCTACATGGACACGGATGTGATCTCCATCCGGCCCATTCCCCAGCGGAGCTTCCTGGCCGCACAGAAGTCGCGCTTCTCCAGCAATGGCATCTTCGGCTTCCCCGCCCGCCACAAGTTCATCTGGGACTGCATGGAGAACTTTGTACTCAAGTACAACGGCAACATCTGGGGCAACCAGGGCCCCTTCCTGATGACCAGGATGCTCAAAACGCTCTGCAACCTGACGGATTTCCAAGGCACCGAGGACCACAGCTGCCAGAACATCTCCTTCCTCAACCCGCAGCGTTTCTACCCCATCCCGTACCCAGCCTGGAGCCGGTACTACCAGGTGTGGGATAAAAGCCCCAATTTCACCCACTCCTACGCGCTGCACCTCTGGAACTTCATGAACCGCAACCGCAAGGTCGTGGTGGCCGGCAGCAACACCCTGGCTGAGAACCTCTACAAAACCTACTGCCCCAGCACCTATGAGGACCTGATCCAGAATGCCAAGCACAGGGATCTCCCAGAGCCTGAGGAGGCTGAGTGACATGGAGCAAGGAGGAGAGGGGTGATCCTTCCAGCCAAACACAATCCCCACTCATATCCAGGTTTGTAGGAGAAAGAAGGAACTTTACATGACCACTGTTCCTATTCCCTTGGGATGCTGAGGATGGTGGTGGGTATCCGTCAGACGTAGCCTCCAAGGACTCCTTTGCCTCAGTGCTGTTTCCTGACAGGTGCTCATGCACCAAACCTTCCCAAATCTGACAGACTTTGAGCCTGTTCACAAGCTTCTCCAAGGGAAAAGCTCCTAAAGAGAGGGGTGGCCTCCCAGGAGCGATGTTGTCTCTGCTCCTCTTGGAACTAGCGGCAGCTTCCCACGTCAGAAAAGTTGGAAGCTCAACAGACTTTGGACTGGAGCCTCGGGGGCAAAAGAGGAGAAACCCAAACCAGCGTCTTTCCCTGGTGTTTTCCTCACATGGACTTTATGCCCTACGTTTTTGAGAGGGACTTTCAGAATTAAAATAAAAGAGTTCATAAACCACCATTCCTCTGAGCTCACTTCTCCCTGAAAAATGAGTCACATTTTCCAAAGGTTTGTGCTCCCACACTTTTACTTTGTGTTTTGCCAGGAAGGGGCTGCTCTGCCCCATCCTCCCAGGTCAATCCTGGCTGTAGAAAGTGTGCCTGGAAAGGGGATGCTGAGACACCAAGGAAGGATAGGGATGGTCCTCCAGGATCCCAAATGCCTGGATTCCCACGTCCCGCTGTGCAAAAGTCCCATTTAATCCCAACAGGGCTCCCAGTGAGCAATCCCCTTCAGATACTCTCTTTCCCAGGAGAATGCCAATCCACCCAATTCCCTGAAGAGAAGCCCAGCTTGCAGATCTCTGCCGAGTGTCCCTGAACAGCTGGTTTTAACTCAGGAGCAGAAAGGTGGGGATCTGTCCCCGTCATCCAATGTTTGCCCTGTGCACAATGCTATCTCCTGCAAACACAGCAGCTGCTGAGCCGGCTGCAGCTCAGAATTTGGGGTTCAGCAGGAGAAGGGAGCCCTCTGCACACAGGGTTTGTGTGCTCCTGTGTTTGGGCAAGGGGCTCCTCCTTGCCCTGTGTCCCCCCAAAGTCACTCCAGTGTAAGGCAAGGCGATGCCAAGCTGAGTGCTGATGATTGTTGGAGCAGGAGAATGACACAAAGGAATATTTTTCTTTGTCCTCACCCCTCCTGTGCCCTCCAGGACATGCCTGTGGATAGAGATGGACCCACATCCAGGCAACTCTGGGAGCATCTGCTTTGTGGATGTCTGCTCTCAGCTCAGGACACTTTCCACTGCCCCAGGGTGCTCCAAGCCCTGTCCAGCCTGGCCTTGGATACGTCCAGGGATCATGGGGCAGCCACAGCTGCTCTGGGCAATCAGGACCTCACCTCCCTCACAGGGAACAATTCCTTCCCAATATTCCCTCTTAAATCTACTCTGTGAGCATGGATGAGACTGTGCCCATGGCCACAAGAAGCCCACAAGGTTGGACAGGGCTTGGAGCACCCTGGGACAGCGGGAGGTGTCCCTGCCCATGGCAGGGGATGGAAGGGGATGGGCTTCAAGGTCCTCTTCAACCCAAACCATTCTGGGATTCCATGATTAAATTATCAAGGGAAATAACACCAGAAATGACTGAAGTTGTGTCTTATCATGGCCTATGAGAAAACCCAAAATTGTCACCAGCAGACTCTATACCTGGTGGCACATCTTCTGCCCTTGGGAAGACATCCCAGTGATGAATAAAAATCCAGAGAGCTTCCCTGGCTGGTGAGGAGAAGAGGTGGCTGCAAACCCACTTTGCCACATTCCCATCTTCTCATTCCATATTTGCCTCAGCTCCCATCCTGGGCAGCAGCCCTAGGCCACGAACACCCCAGGAAAAGAAAACAAGTGAAATAATAATATTGGAAGAAAAAATAAAAAAGAGTCCTTGGCTCATTAAGAACATTTAAGCAGATGTTTAACTCTAAGCAGCCTTAAAATATTTGCTGAGCTCAGACTAAGCCTAATTTCAAGCCCCATTTCAAGCCCATCCAGTGATGTTTTACTCTATTTGGCACTCATTAAACACAAAGTATCACATGAATATGTCAGCAGGAGTCACCCACAGGGGTGTCATCCATCAGAGCAATGCTTTGAATTCCAGTTGAGAGCATCTTTTCCTTTTCATCAGGTCTGAGTGACACGTAGGGTGTGACAGGATGGCACCTGATGGTCAGGGGATTGTGTTGTGGGAAGGAAAGGCTCTGAGCTGGCCCCTCTCAGGTATGGCCAGCTGAAGGGACACAGCTCTTGGGGAATCTCTGTGCTCAATCTGCTATTTTCTGCTCTGGTTTTGAATGCATTTAATAATAATATTCTGCAGAGAGAGGAAAAAATGCCCAAAATTACCAAAAAATGATCTGTGATGCCCAGTCTGTTTCTGTACAGATCCAACGGCTCTCAGCAAACAAAGCTGAAGGTAATGATGGCATTTTGAAGTGAATCAATTTGGATATGGATGCATTTTTCATAAATTCCATCCCTTCAGAGCACAATCTCTTCTCTGTGTCCGTCTCTAACAGCCATGGAGTCCCCACAGGCTGTGCTTCCCCTCACCTGAGCCATGGACTGGACGCTTCCAGTCCTTCCACTGCCAACACAGCTCACAAACCAAAACTGTCCCTTGGCATCGCAGCCAGATCCCAGAGGAATGAGATTTCCATGAGATTTCCAGCGAGTTTCACAGCAAAGGAATGGCCTTGCCTCCTTCAAACTATGCCAATGGTTATCTGCATACAAACAGGGCCTGCCGTGGATCCCTCACTGCAGTCCAGGGAAAGGAAAAGGGGGATTTCTGCTCCCTAATGCAGGCAGGAAATAAAATAAAACCAGTCCTAAACCAGGGCTGGCTGTTGGCAAATACCCAAGGGGGCATTGTGACCTCTTTGACATCCTCCAGCCAGTGGCCTTGAGGGCAGATGTGGCATTTTCTGAGACCCCTGTCAAAAGGAGGAATGATGACTCTGACTCCATGTTCTCAGAAGGCTAATTTATTATTTTATGATCTATATGATATTAAAGAATACTGAACTAAACTATACTAAAGAATACAGAAAGTATAGTTACAGAAGACTAAACGATATTAATGAGAACTCGTGACTCTCTCTCCAGAGTCCAACACAGCTTGGCACTGATTGGTTATTAAGTGAAAACAATTCACATGTTGGATAAACAATCTCCAACCACATTCCAAAGCAGCAAAACACAGGAGAGGCAAATGAGATAATATTGTTTTCCCTTTTCTCTGAGGCTTCTCAGCTTCCCAGGAGAAGAATCCAGGGCAAAGAGATTTTTCAGAAAATATGACGGTGACAGTCAGAGGTTGTTCTCCAAGGCGCGGTGCCAGAGCTGGGACCATCCCTGTCCCCAGAGCACCAGGATGAAGCTGGATTTGGGCTGGGGGTGTTGTGAGTGAGGATGGCGTAGTGCTGGGCAGAGCTGCTGTGGGCACAGGGGGCATGAATCCCCTGGTCCTTTGGCTGGGCAGATCCATCACCAGCACTTCCTCTTCTCCAGGCTAAACACCCCCAGTTCCCTCAGCTGTTCCTCATAGGATTTATGTTCCCAGCCCCTCTCCAGCCTCGTTTCCTCCTCTGGATGCACTCGAGTGTCCCAATATCCTTCCCAAACTAGGAGGCCAGCACTGGCCACAGCACTCAGTGTGTGCCCTCACCGGTGCCCAATACAGGGGCAGAACGATCTCCCTGCTCCTGCTCTGCCTCCCCAGCAGCCTTTCCTGGGCTAAATTATCCACGGCTCCTCCCTGAGGGTGTGGAGGGCCCTGGCATGGGGATTTCAAGGGGGCATTCACCGTCCCAGCCCTCTCCATGCCAAGCACATCGAGCAGCTGTTTCCTGCGAGCATCCCCGAGCTGCCGGCAATGCAACACCACCACCTAGCACCGAGCAGAGCCCCTGCAGGGACACGGGCAGCCCGGGATGCTCCATCCGCCCCTGCTCCACAGCAGGGCAGCGCTTCTGCTCCAAAAGCACCAGGAAAAAAGCACTGACTCGATGATATTCCCCCTGAATGTTTCCTGGAGATGTTTTTTTTCCTGTAGTGGTGTTCGCAGGGGTCCCAGGATGAGGGAAGAGATGAGAATCTTGACTCCATGTTTCAGAAGGCTGATTTATTATTTTATGATATATATTATATTAAAAGAAAATTATATATTAAAACTATACAAAAAGAATAGAGGAAAGTATTTCATCAGAAGGCTAGCAAAGGAAAAGAAAGGAATGGAATGAATAAAAAAGCTCGTGATTCTCAGAGAGCCCAAGCCAGCTGGATTGTGATTGGCCATTAATTAGAAACAATCCCATGAGACCAATCACAGATGCACCTGTTGCATTCCACAGCAGCAGATAATTATTGTTTACATTTCGTTTCTGAGGCCTCTCAGCTTCTCAGGAGAAACACTCCTAGCAAAAGGATTTTTCATAAAATATGTCCATGACACATTCCTGGGTTTGTTTCACTGCATGGCACGTCCCCCTTTCCCTGGAATGTCATTTGGGAATGCTGAGGGGGTGTGGGAAGCAGCAGAGGTGCCCAAAGCCAGACCCACACCCCCCCTTCACTTCTCATATTTTACATCCCCAGGACATTCCTGGTCATAAAATCCCCTGGAGCTGTAAACAATTCCCGAGAGAAAATGCTGCACATACCCCATAGCCTGAAAATTCCAAAACCCACTCTTCAGCAGTCCTTCCCTAAAGCAAACATGGGCTGTATCTTGGGAAATGATGGGTGTCAGGGATCTTCCCTGGGATTTGACAGGGCTTGGAGCTCGAAGGATGCTCTGAGAGGTGGGTGGTGCTGCTGAGGGCCTGTGCATTGTCCTGGGGGATGACAATGCCAGGCTCATCTGCCTTAGGTTGTGAGAAGAATTTCCACTTGGACCTGCAGGAGACTCCAGGCTCTGGTGAGGCATCAGCAGCAGCCCAAGGAGCACAAATTCCCT